GTACTTTCTGAAGCGTGTATTTAGTCCTAGACAACTATATATTACTTTCCTGAGAACTCACTGACCTCAGTAAGTATTGTACCTGAAAATGAGACTGTTTCTTGCACTTACAATGAAATTCATAATGTATAAATGAATGCATCAAGCAAGACTTGATTTAAAAATATAACTATTCAGGTTTGTTCAGCCAGGACAATTATGTTAGTTCTTAATCGGTTCCTTTGCTTCTAGTCTCCTGCTCTAGTCCAATCTGTTGGGAGAAGGACCCTTCCTAAAGCTTTGCTACTCAAAGTGGCGTCCCTGGACCAGCAGCGGCTCCATCACCTGGGACCTTGTTCAACGTGCAGGCTCTTGGGCCCCACCCCAGACCTTCTGGTTCAGAATCTGCATCTTAACAAGATCCCAGGCAACCTGGGTGCACATTACAGTTTGAAAAACAGTGTGAGCTTAAAACACAAATCTGACCATGTCTTTCCCAGTGACGAAACCTTCAAAGACTGCCACTGCCACAGGAACAAAGCCCAGGCTCTTAGCCTGATATTCAAGGCCTTCAATGGCCCAACATCGTTGACCTTTCCACCGACACCCCAGCTCTTCTCCTTACATCCCTAGACTCCAGCCACACGAAACCTTCACGGCATCCCAGCCCAGCCCGCTGCACCTTTGCTTAGGCGGCTGATTCCTCCATGACCATCACTCCACTATGTATCCAGATGGCCAACTTCAAGAGTCAGCTGTGCCTCCACCACCTCCACGAAGCCTATCCGATAAATCCAATCAGAAGTAATCTCCTGTGTCCTAATCCCCACAAGGCTTGTCTGGGCCTCCAAGGGAATATAGAACTTCTTTTTACCCTTAAATGATTACCTATATATAGTTATCTTATCAAAACCACCTAAGGTATAAAACCTTCCCTGATTAATTTTTTAACGTTGCCTGTGTTCTATAGTAGAACTCAATAAATAGCTTATTAAATGTTTGAATCTATGGACATATACACTAATTCATGAATAAGTGACTATATTAGTACATTTAAATACCATTCATTAATAAATAAAGCAATCCTTGAATTTATGGTCTTTGTTCCAGGTTGTATTCAGGTTGCTACCCTAAAAGTTCTTGAAATGACACTTTCTGGGGGGGAAAAAGAGATTTCTAACTCACACAAACATTTAGCTAATTCTGAGTTAGCTCAGGGAAGCGATCACATAATTCTCACACTAACAAATAAAAATTTTTACAGTGGTTGTACAGGGGATATGGGAAAGGCTAAGTCAAAATGAGCAAGTTTCCAGAATTGAGCAAGATGCCTTAGTCAAGAGGAATGAATGACGGGCTTTTCTGCAGCTATAGTTTTCACCAGCGTGAGATGAATAAACTCCTTTTGGAAATTACTCTTATGACGTTACTTCTTCCAGGACACTTAACAGTAGACTCTGGTGGCCCTGAAAAATTAATTAACCTTACTAGTAACAACCTAACCCCTAAACCATTTGCAGTGTTTTTACTGGGGGTCAGGTTAATCTTCTCTACCTTAATTTACACCTAAGTGAGGGGGGTCTAAATTACGCTGGGGACTTTTGGTCACTGGCACTTTGCCTTGTGCCATTTCTTTAGGTGACAGTCTGCTCATAATCAAATGTGTGAGCCTTTTGGAAAATGGCAAGCCCCAGAGATTAGCAAGGAGAAGTTTTAAACTGCTTTTTGGGTGTGGGGAGGGGAGCAACACTGTGTTTATAATCAGAAGTCAAAATGCAGCTGCAAAAGGGAATGGACAAGACTGAAATGCTACTGTTCGGTTCTACTGGGGATTGTTTTCTGAGAAAGGCTAGCTTTTCAGAACCTCAGGACCTTAAAGATACAGGGGCCAGGCTCTAGGGCTGGTTAATGGGTCTGTAGAAGATTTACCAAAACATTCCTCCCTTTTGTTTATCCAACAGGTAGCTAAAAAATATTCTCAAGTCATTACCAGGAGAAAAGAGAAGTTATTGAAAAATGCCACAACTGTTCAGCCCAAACGAGGACCTCTGGTGACTGGCAGTGGGAGCAAAACCTTCCTTTCATTCTGTGACTCTGGAACTTTAGTGCTGAAGTTCTGGGAATTTCACCTTCCCTTTGAGAACAGACACATAGCATTGCCGTTCTCATAAAAGAAAGATTTCTGAACTGGCCCAGAGTAGGAAAATATTATTATAAATAACAGTAATTATTCTGTGCTGTTTTAGCCAACAGAATTAGTATCATTAATACGTATTAATAACAATACACATATTAATAACAATGAGGCAATCAACCAATACAAATGCATTATGACACAAATAGAGTGGAAAGAAAAAAATATTTTCTCTGAAAAAAATGAAGAAACAGTAGCTCTTTGAAGGAAAGATTGCTAGTTCCCTAAAAATGCGTTCTCCCTCCATCCCATTGGCCCAACAGGGACATTCGTCTTCTTTTGCTAACTGGTCTCTGATGGGCTTTGTGCCTTCAGTTGGGGTTAATCAGAGACGCAGCAGTGAGGAGGCGATCCCAGGCCTGACAGCCGCGGCCTAGACACTTCCTCGCTCCCCCGGCACTGCCAAAGGGCGGGGTTGGAACAATGAGAGCTAATGATGGAGCCCTGGAAGCTATCATTGTGAATCAGGCCATTACTTATGCCACTCTTGTGAAAATCAAGCCAGGCTTAGGCTCCATTTCGGTTCAGCAGGCCCGGGCCCACCTGGGGGCTCAGCAAGCCCAGAGCAGATAGAGGACTTCGGCTCTCCATGTGGATACGAGATGCTGGCGTGGGATGACCACCAGCCAAGACATGTTCCAGACTGCACAATGGGCCATGCTGTGTGACAGACCAGCCTTGCCAATAGCCATGTGCTGCTGGTTGGGATGACCCATCCTTGCCCTCTGGCCAGTGTGTGACCCACCCAGGTCAGGGGCTCTCTCCAGGAATCCTCCATGTGTGTGCCTGGGGAACCTCTCTTGAAATCTCAGACCTGCCTGAGCTTCTATTCTTACCATTCCAGCACTATGATGAATGATTAGCACAGGCTTCAAAACACAGCTGTCCAGATGTGTGAGTGAGCTTGTCCAGCCCAGCTCAGATTAGCAGACCCACCCATCTGACCCAAAGGCTTGTGATAAATTATTCATGGTTGTTGCTTTAAGTTCTACATTTCGGGGTGGTTTGTTATATAAAAATAGCTAACTGGTTCAGCTGGCTAGTACAATTTGATTGAAGCACAGTTTTCATGTCACATAATCATAGGTTAGAAAGGCAGGCCAGGCCAGGTCACAGAGCTGAGATTTTAAGTGGAAGACAGCTGGGAGCCACTCAAGAATTCTGAGCAGGTATAAACGGGATGGAAAGCTGTGCTCCAGAGGCTTCCTGTTAAAGCAGCAGGGTGAAGTCAGGATATTCTGAGAGGCGGGAAAACTAGGATGGAAACCCTGCCAAGGAGGTAAAGTGAGCCTGCACCAAGTCAGAGGTGGTAGATGGAGATACAAGAATCTCTGAAGGAACGGTTTGGCTAAAGACCAGAAGTGGATGGGAAAGAAAAGTTGACATTGGTCAATGATGACACTACGGTTTCAAACCTGGGTAGCTGAGAGGGTGACGACAAAGGGAGGTGGCAGGAAGAGTTGGTGATGTCAAAGTTGAGAAGTTCATGGAGTATTTAGGTGGGAAAGTTTGAGCTTTGGGAAATGTGGGACTGTAACTCCGTAGATCAACCCAGGGTGGGGGAATTTTGAGAATATTTTCATAGAGGTGATGGTTAGAGGCATGACTCTGAGCAAGAGAGGATGGAGAGGAAATGTAGATGTTTGTGAAAGAAATGACACCACATGCTGGGTGTATTAGTCATGTACTGCTGTGTAACAAATTACCTCAACATTTAGCAGCATTAAGACTCAGGAGCCTGGGAGCAGTTAATCTGGGTGGTTCTGGCTAATGGTCTCTCATGAGGTTGTATGCCAAATGTTGACCAGGACTGTTGTCATCTGAAGGCTTGACTGGGGCTGGAGAATCTGCCTCCAAGATAACCCCTTCACATGGCCGATGGCCGGAGGTCTCAGCTCCACACCACATGAATAGCATGGAGGGCTATTTGAGTATCCTCATGACATGGCAGCCAGCTTCCTCCAGGGTGAATGATCCAAGACAGAGGGAACAAGGCAGATGCCCCATGTCTTTTATGACCTAGCCTTGGGAGTCACACGCCGTCACTTCTGCCACGTTCTGTAAGTTACATAGATTAACCCTGACACAGTGCAGGAGATGGCCACACTAGGGCATGAATACCAGGAGGAGGGGGGCATATGGGGCCATTCTGGAAGCTGGCAACCATACTGGGGATGGAGGAAGAAGACAAGCCAAACTTAGAAAGATGTGAGGGATAGTTTAGTTGGAGAAATAAGACTGACACATGGGAAGAGATCTGCTCTCACATCTGCTGGCTCACCTGGCACCTAAACGGTCCCCTTCAGAACACCCTGCGCCTCCAGAAAGTACGCCTGGGAGAGGAGGAGATTGTTTTCCATGCAACTGATTCCCAAGCCACTTACCATGTGCCAGGCCAAGTGTCAAGAGATTGTTTTCCATGCAACTGATTCCCAGGCCACTTACCATGTGCCAGGCCAAGTGTCAAGATTTCCCTGATGTTGACACCATCACTCGTAAGTAGGGAGACTGAGGCTGAAGTTACTAGCCCGAGTTCTCACAGCCAGTATAACATGGGGCTGGAATATGAACCCAAGCCACTCAATAAACAAAGCCCTCACTCTTAACCTCTGTGCTACCATGAGGAGAGGACAGGGGCCTGCACTTTTCTGCTGGAAGCTCCAGATAAGTCGAACCAATAGAAGCAATGAGAAAGGAGTAAATGAACATGGGGGATGACCCAGCAGTGCCACAGAAACTGTGAGAAGGGGAAGGGACTGATGTCCACTGAGCCCTCTTCTGTCCCAGGCACAGGCCAGCAATGATGAAGCAATCGAGGGGTGCTTACCATCCTTGGGGTTCGCTGTGTTCTCAGCGGGCTGCTCGACGAACTTCAGTAGTGGGGATCTGGACCTCTGCATGGTGGGACGAGTGGAGTCACTGAACAGTATGGTGTCCTTGCCCCCTGTCACGGAAAAGGGAGAAACGGACATGGTAGGTCCTCAATGGAGTCGCTGCTGCATTCCCCCCACACAGTGGACTGGCTCATGGACAAGGCACCTTCTTCAGTCCTGGGTAACAGCGGGGAAGGGAAATGGGCAGCAGGCCCTTTCTGTAGGGTGAGGGCAGGCAACGGCTCTCTATGAGTCCTGAGAGTCTGCTCAGGACATGGCTGTCCACAAATGCACCAGTAAGAGGCAGCCTGTATGTCAGCCAGAAACTGCGTGGCATTGCTCAGGGTGAGACCATAATGATAACAACAGTAACCGCAGCATCAGAGTGCTTAGGAGTGTGGGCTCTGGAGCCACCCTACAGCACCGGGTTCTGGACTCCATCATTTGCTAGCTGCGTGACTTCGGGCAAGTCACTTAACCTCTCTGAGCCACAGAGCCCTCACCTGTTCAATGAGTACAAATAACAGCCCCCGCCTTGCTGGGTGGTTTTGACGAACTGATTCATGGCAAGCACTTAGGCATTTAGACAGCACTCAGTAACTGTCACCTATTAAAATGATTACTTTACAAGGCACTTCCATAGCACTGTCATACGCAGTGCTGCTGTATCTGATCGGATGTCATACACTGTATCTGATGTGCTTTGATTTGGCCATTAAGATTGAATAATAACTGTCATAAGTCAGATAGTATGAGGCTCCTCAAACGATCATAAGGAAACTCTCTCTTAGGACATACAGTCCCAGGCCAGCCCAAACCTTTGATCTATCTGTACGACCTCCCTAAGTGGACGGAGAAAGGACCCGAGGCAAAGAGGAGAAAAGGGAAACCGTTACAACGCTATTGTTAAGGCCATGGCAAGCTACGGAGTGAAGAGCAGGGATGTCCGGCTTTGAAACATGAGCACCATGAACACAGACACGAGACGTGTGGACATAAAGCGAAGCTGCCCCAGCAGTGCAGGGAGCCCAGGCGGGATGGATCCCAGACTTTGCTCCGTGAGGCCTTGGGACTCTCCCGGTGGGAACCACCATGCCAACCCCACACCCCAGGGTGCATGTCCTAGCCTGCGCTCCAACCTCAGCTGTCCAGCTTTGCACAAGACCCTTTCTAAAGCCAAGTCACTAGATGTCTCTGGGGCTCAGGGCAGAGGCTCTACAGTTCTGATCTCAGTCAGTGTCAGGTTCAACGGAGCACGGAGTTGGATTCGTGTGACGACTTCCACTCCCTTGGTGAACCTGGACTCTACCTTGGAGTCCTCAGTTTGTTTACAGAACTGTCTTCCCATGAGGCCCTGTCTTATTAACTTGATTTCCAAGACTGCAGGAGAGAGTTCACACGTGATAGGTGCTTAATAAGTGTCTGATAAATGTCTGAATAAATGGCAGGTGCGTTCTTGGGAATACTGATGTCCCGCGGGGCAGGGTGCAGACAAGCCACAGAACTCTGTTTGCTCTGCTATCTGAGGGTCATCCCAGAGGAACAGAATCTGATAGGAGCCCACCCTGAGGTTCTCCACCAGAACAGCTATTCTTTACATATGGAAAAAAATCCAGAAATCTTCAGGGCCACAGTCTGGAGAGGTTTCCCAAAAAGAACCACTGGGATATTGTTAAGAGACTCTCAGAATGAAGTCAATGTAATCAGGGTCCCTTTGAGCTTCAAAGATACCATCTGGAAACACCTTGAGGGCTTCATGGTTACTATCAACCCAGAGCTGATGCCTCAGGATGGGCTGCTTTTGTTTCCTTCCACCGAGGCAACAATTACTATCCTCAAGCCAGGGAAAGGACGACATTTCACAACCCATCTTTTTCTAGCAGGTAGGCTGGCAGCTCTCTAGCCTTAGGGGACTCAGTAAGATGCACACTCTGCCCCTCTGTGTCCCAACCAGCGTTCCCAGGGCCCTCTGCCCTGGTGGCCAAAGAATCAAAGTTATGGGCAGAACTGGGAGCTGGCTGAGATCCTCAGCCGTTCCTGTTGTGAGGAATTTTCCAGGGTAGAATGTCTTGCGGCCCTCTCAAACCACAGGGCATCATCCATTCCACACCGTCCCTCAAAATTGCTGGAACTAGCAACGCTAAACCTCTCCGAGAACCTGAGTAACAAGCACAGAGAGAAGGGCAACCGAAGCCACCACCCACTCAGGCCCAATCAAGGTGGGGACCGGGGAGGAGAGAAATACCTCCCCAAATGCCTAC